TCGCTATCAAATATGTTTTGACCAGATTTTTCAAATATCGTAAGCAATGAAAAACTTCCAAGGAAAACAACCAAAATTTTATTGTTTCTGAAAGAAAGCGCCAATCCAAAGTGGCCAAATGAGGTTACTTGGTGATAAATGAATATCTTTGGTCAAGAAATGAATTCATTTTCTAGATGGAGAAATGTCACGAAGCGTCGGGTTTGTCATTTGTTAGATGTCAAAAGTTCTTGAAACCGAAAAAAGGGAAGGGTAAAATCGATCCAGACTGGAGAAAATGTTTATTAAGAAGCAATAATTCAAAAAGCAAGAACTCTTAGATATCAGGAAAGCTGATTGTTACGATAAGCAAACGTTTGCCACTTTAATCATTAAATACCTAAAATCCCTTGTATATATTTAATATACCATGTTTTCTCCGCCTTTATTGCTTTTACTTAGGGCTTATATAACTACATTCTCAATAAGAGGTACAAATGATTCATATAAAATAATATCTGTACTTAATTTTTGCTGATACAAGCTAACAAATCTAATAGATGATACTCAAAATTCATCGATCCAGTATATTTCGTAAATTTCTTTGTTATGAGCGCGAAAATCACCTTCTCATCATCGAACTTCATAAACTTTTGATCATCATTGAACCAATAAAAAAAAATTAAAAAGCTAAATGATTATCATGAGAACGGCTTTCACATTTAATGATAACAGTACTGAGGGATTGCTATTTGTCAGTGGCTGTAAATATTTAAAATCATATCAACGATACGTTTTTCTACGTAAAAAGATTTTCGTTTCGTAGCGTACTTTACAATCAACCACCTATAGCTGAGGTTTCCATGTTTCCATGTCTGTTTCTTATAAATACTGAAGATTTTTAATATAAATGGTTGGCATGAAATATCTCCATCACAGACTGACTTGATATTTGCTGGTTGCGGATGATATGTTGCGTGATGAATTCATGGAGAATGACCTGTTACTGAGAAACGCACATAAGCACTGAAATAAACTTCATCGGTCGTACCATTACACAATCTTCAGAAGTAGAAATAAACAAACATCAATGAGGCTCTAAAAAACCTGATTTTCAAAGGTTTCCTAGTGGCCAGTGTTCGATTTCAGACGATTATTTGACCAAAACGTATGAAAACAGCGAGGACTGTCTGTCATGGCGAGGTTCGCACTGAACAAAATAAGTAACTTAGAAACTGTAAGTCAGTCACATCAGGACCTTTTTATGATAGGGGGAAGAGGTTTAAGTAAGCCGGTTTCCCATCATACGGTAGCATTGTGATTTTATAAATCAGTTTAGTTGCGGTTCTTTGAGAATCCTTCTTTAGACTACTATCTTTCTGGACCGAAGCTGGTTGATTCCGTACAATATTTCAGGTGTGGATGAACAAATTCTGTATAAAAGCCAAAAAGGGTTTCAGAATTGCCATAACTAAATGATTTATACATTGACCATGGGATTCTAAAACCTTTGGCAGCTCTGACAATGTGATGTGAAATATTTTTCAAGTCAGGCTTCAAACCGAAGAATAAAAATGCAGACACATTAGACGAAAGATTCCCATCGATAAAGTAAATGCATTCTGATATCTTCGTGTGTCTCATTGCTGACTTAAACTGGAGCATTTATGATTGTAGTGAAACTAGTTCTCGTTCAGTAGAAGATGGGATAAAAGAACTTAGTTTAAACGGGAAGCAGAAACCTGACTCTTATGTCAATGAGAGTTTGTATAACAGGTAGCTCAGTGTTATTCACTGTGTATACATCCGTAACTTGATGATCGATATGCATCATGATACATTTGAATGTACTTATCGGCAATTGCTACATTTGTGGACCACTCAGGTCATTTCTGAAATTCATATTGAAGCTATTTACTACCACATTCCATTTTTATCGCTCTCTACATGTGGCAAATAGCTAAACGACAGGACAGTAGGAAGGTCATCTACGAACTGTGGGCCTAAAACTGGGCATTTCCCCTTGCTTTACCAGCTAAACAACTTGGAGTAATATGTTATCTTTGTCTGTCCCTGACTAGGACATCCTTAATCCACGAAGAAAGTTGCCCCAAGTCTTGTTATCACTTAATTTAGAGAAAAGACAGTGGTGAGAGACTTTGTAAAAAGCCCCCATAAAACTGATGGAGGCTATATTGTAAGGCCTTTTTGAAGGCCCCGACCGTAGCTGCTACCTTGACGTCATGGTCAGGTTTGCCTATCGTACCATCCATATGACTGGAACAACTACAATATCATGCGACTCGTAGATACCTTAAATTAGCTTGTAGTGAAATACTTTTATGAACAGAACGCGATTGGTTTATTAGAAACATTCATTATTATTACCAACTGTACCGGTGATCGATTAACTGTATATTTGGTTTATAACACATTTTTGCGCGCAACTTTCTGTTTGTGTTGCTGCCATTCTGTGATGTAGCTGATCTTTGATTCGCCCACTTTCCTAGTTTAATTTCGGTGTCCTTTCGACACCGCGAAATCACCAGCGAGTATTTCCTTTATCTTGGATTTATTTCTTCTCACTGGCGGGTTCGTAATTAGTATTTAGTGGTGATCGTACTGGATCTCGACTCAGTCACAACTGAAAGCCATTGAAGAAAAATTTAAGACAGCCAAAGAATCATTCTAGGAAACAACATATAAATGCCACTGTCTTGTCACTATCAACACCAAAATACAAATTCGCATAGATTCAAATACTAATAAAGCTGATGAACACTAGAAAGCTAAGATGTCCTAAAAGGTCTCTAGAACTCCAATTGAGACACATTCAGTTTGCTGTGTATTTTTTGATGCCATTATTGAGTTTTCGTTCACAGTGAATATTCCCAGAGTGCTCTTAAGAACTGACGCCTCCTCGTTGACCTCAACATTAAGGAGAAACAATCGAGTTTTCGAATCCGGATCGATACATTTAAACATTCCCTGTTAGACAGTTGAAACAACAAATATGGCAAACTTAATCATACCACGGTAGAACCACGGTGCCATAAATCGACTGCTCCCTTTCTAGTTGCTTCAACGGCAGCATACACGCATTCACACACTTACAAACAGAGGACGTGAGGAAACGTTACTGGATCTACACAGAGTTGCTTGCTTGAACTGTCAAAAGTAGTGTTGCAGTTTTGGGTGACTTTTAGGCTCGATGTTTGTGTAGTGTATGTTCAATAGGTTTATTCTTATAATTTTTCTACCTCAAAACTTATACCTCGCGTACTTTCCTCTTCAGATTATCTCAAGGTCTATTTTTACTATATCGAGTAACATGCTTCGTAACGAGTTGTCACTAGTTCTTACACTATAACAACTAGGGAAAATAATAAAGGGATAAATTCCGGGACTAGTAATCAATCGAAAATCATAGACTATGGCAACAGCATATCGAAAATGCTCAAAACGTCACTCGACAGTTAACCTCATACAAATGAGCACAACGCAGATCACTCTATCTAAACACCTCAACTGAGATACCAATACAAAGATCAAGATGATACTCCCTCCAAGAATCTTGCCCTCAACAGAACTGATGGACAGAGATAAAATGAAAGATGGAGATGTCTTTACTCTTAAATTAAGCAGGCTATGTTCGTGAAGAAAAGAACACTATTAATTGTATTTCCACCTCGTTCTCAGGCAAAACCAACAGCACTGCGTTTGAAAGTAATTTCTGCGGTGGATGCGTCAAGTCTAACACAGCTCTTCACTTTACTCATGAACAACTTGGTTCAATTACCCATGAATTGTTCCTAACTATCTGCAACACATACACGCCCACACCTTGATTACACACCCCGTCTTTTCAAAAAAGACATAGATCTCCTGGATTGAATCCAGAGAAAAGCAACGGAATGGGTGATAGGTTGACGAACAAATCGTACGGAGATTGATTAAACCTCTTGGGATTATTCTATTTCAGTTACGAGAGAATCACAGATAACCTGATAATGGCGTACAACATATCAAGAACACGGAATCACACAAACATGTGCATCTCCCCAGAGCACTACCACCAAGCTCATCGGAGTCATCCTATGAAAATTTCTCATCAAAAAGTGAACTCCCAGAATCGTGCACACTTTTTCTCATTAGTTAACGCAAACTGTAATGTTCTCCTAGCCGAGGTGACCACAGCCTCCTCAGCGGATGATTTCAAGAAGAAACTTGGTAAACACGCTCACATTCGGATTATCATCTCACCCTAGGATCAGCTGCACCTGATGCACTTCTCGAAACTGGTGGGCCGTTATATATACCATAGCCTCCGATGTTTCTCGATTATTATCTCTGTTTCCTTTTCCTAACTTACACTGCGGTCCTCTCTCACAAGCCTTACTGCCAGTTAATTAACTTACTTATTTACATAAATCTGAAAATTTCTTCCTATGAGGAGTACAATTTTATCCTTATTGTTCTCTATATTACATTTAACTGATCTAGAAGCTGGTGTTTTGATAGCTTCTGGGGTCCAGAAGCCATACTTATTCAGATCAAACTCACAAACAACTGCCAGTTGACCTGAATTAATGCAGTCGAGTGGCTAGACTGCCATTCCTTGGACATAACTAGATACTTGGAACCGTACCGAGAAAACAATAATCGGTTTACACTAGCTCGTGAAAAAGATATTGGATGTTGGATAATGGTATTGTACATTGGGAATCGCGCTAAAGTCAGTTCCAAGGTCCCGTGTCTTTCAGATGGATAGTTTAGTAAGAGCATTATCTGGTCTTAGTTCCAAATTTTAGCCCTTGGATGTGATTTCAGCAGTTCGCTTTGGGCTAGATTTTTATTTGGATCGTTTATATAATTCTGATTCCCTCGCTATACTCGTAACGTTTGTATCAGTTATCTTCATCTTGTCAAATTTTGGTAAGTGAGAATTACAGTCATTATTGTTAAGATTTATTTGATGGCAAGCTTGCATGTTCAATTTTTTCCTGTCTACGAAAGACCCCTTTTGTAAGATCCTACATTAGAAAGAAAATAGATAAAGCTTCAAAGGATATACATAGAGAAATACATGAAAAAACGTCTCATGTGATATTTGAGAAGAATCTTCCAATCTGCGGTCAAGCAGTGGTAACGCATACTATAGTCATCTGAATTTTTCAGGAGAATGTACTCTCAAGTGCTCGGAAGTACAAAACATTGGGTTTGTTTTCAACATTGCATTAAAAATATGCATTATAGAATATATAAAGTGGAATGAAGGCTTTGTATCTGGAAGTGTTTATCCACGAGACGAAAATCTTACGGCCTTATGTTCGAAAGTACGTTTTCAATAATTTTGTACTGAATAGAACTTTCTCATCTAAATGTTATGGTTTATCTAAACTTTTAACTTCATAGCCTATACCAGGAATCAGATCGTAATGAAAGCAACATATGCATTCAGGAAAAGTCGTATATGTCCGGTGGCAGTTTAAACCGTTTGAATTACGGAACACCTTGATAGTTATTCAATCATTTTTATTGAGATAATATGAGTTGTTAGTAATCGTTTACATGATTTTTGCCTTACTTTCATTTATGGTTTAAAAATCCGCTCGTATGAATCATACGCAGGTTTTTCTTTTAGTAACCTACAAGTCTATGGGTTTTGATTTTATATGCCTGGTAATGTCAACTCAATCCCGTTGTATGATCTTACAATGATATATCCGACTTATTGATATCCCTTAATTTTCCCTTACCTTTTTTATTTTTCTATGCGTTATCTTTTTTACTATCACTGGTATTGTTACTAGTATTACTACTCTTCCATATCCTCGAACAACCGAGCAAGTAGTGCTGTTGTTAGGACACGGGTTCTAGGTTAGGATGGTGAATCAACTGACGAGATAGTTAAGTGACATGGCTCAAAATCGTTTACAGTGGCTCAGACGCATCCGTTCTTTTACTTCTCTGGAATTCTAATCTTCCGAATTCCTCATCACCTTTATCTTTCTTTATTTAATTTATTTCACTGGATTATACTTCTTGAATAATATCTTTAAACCCTAATCTCCACTACCGCTGATATTCTTACTACTCTGAAATTTAACTTGAAATAGTCAAATCTCATTGTACACATGTGATGTAGAAACTTGAACCGATGCACTAATGTTTCGCGTTCTTCGTTGCGTTTGATGATAATGATGATGATTACTAATTTTGGTTTTGATATACTCATCCCTATCTTACCTATATTCAGATCTATAAGGAATTCCTCTGGACAAATCCGTTACATCCAGAGCTTTTCATTGATATTCGAAGAATGGAAGCTGAAGTCGTACGCATGTGTGTCACAATGTTTCATGGAGATAAAGACGCATGCGGTACTGTAAGTTTGAAGTATTTTAAAACCACTGAAATGCATATGTATTATAACCCCCCTGTGTAGTTGCTATAACAGTCTAATTGACTTGATTGTTGACCAGTTATAGCTAAGGTGACCCTATTGATGTAGTTTGTTCATACTAACAAATCTCATATCACTGCTGAGTAGATTTCAAAAGACCTAACTGCTAACTAATTGATCGAATGTATGTGAATATTTATATTATGAGATCAACGATATTGTTTACGCGAAAAATATTTACTCAACATAGTATGATTTATGGATTACTAGTAAATTGTAAAGTAATTGGTTACAAGTGAAAAAGAAAAATCACAAACACTGACCAAAGTAAAGCATGTTACCGGTTCTTAAAGTCATTGACAATCGGACTGAGCCATGGTAATATATGCAGGCTACCTAGTTGTAATCGTTGGGGAATGCATAGCAGAAAATGACATTCATTGTGATTCATTGCTTCCTTGTCCTGAAACAGGCTTTGATGATCTTTGGTCTATGAGATTTCCATCCGATAAATGCTTTTTGGTCTTGTGTAGACAGCGTCAGTGTAGTTCGTTTGTATGTGTGAGACATTTTGTTCATGGCCGGAGTGAAACAGCATCTCTGCTGAAGCTTATGGTTCTTATCCAGCCTTTACTATAGTTATATTTCAAACGGACACGTAGTTTATAAACAAGCAGACTAGACCTCGTCACATCACAAAATAAGAAACTAACGATCATACATGAGGGATGCAGAAAGTGACTGGTAGTGAATCAACCGAAAGCTTATAGTAGATGGAGTAATTATTCATGGCTGTGTGTCTTGATAATTATGCGATAAGAGTATATAATAATAATAATCCAGAAGCTAGTTCTTGAAGTTACCATCCCTTTAATACTTGTTCTATTATAATTCACAGAAAATCTGATTATTCTTTCGATTTTCATAATATTGTTCTATAAATTTTTTGTTTTACTCTTCACTAGACTACGTCAGGAGGAACAGAAAGCATACTACTTGCATGTTTAGCTTATCGTCAGCTTGCACGTGAACATGGTATCAAACATCCAAATATGTAAGCTTTCAGATACTCATTGTGTTAATCATCCATTGAACATACATTTATGTACATAGTATTTAAACCATATCATCTGCATGTGATAGTTATTGATAGTATGCCATTCCTCTGACTGAAGTAGATAGAGTGTGACCTCCGAACTACCATCTCATTAGTTGAAAACTAGATGCTTTAAACACTAACCCACTTCTGTATATTTCTGTATAAAATGCCACCTTCATTTTCACTTTAGAGAACATTTTGTTATATTTCCATGTGTATACTGTTTTTGTGCTTCGGGGTAAGCTGGTTTTAGATATCGGGGGCATATGTCTCAACCACTTGAACCAATAAGAATTCATAAACTCGTTGACTAACTGATTATGTCCGCTTAAAATCCTACACCTTGCTTCCTTAATACTCACTTACTGGTTATTCTATGTATATACGATAAATCCCCCCGAAAATGGTATGCTAAAAAGCTTATACTTTTGTTTCGATTAGAGTTATAGAAATTAGTGTTTTTACACACTGAGATCAATCAATTATTGTTAGACCACCATTAGAAACCTGACAGCACTGGATGGCCATTTCGTCCTAGTAAGGAACTTATCAGCGGTGCGCATCCACGGCTCCTGCACCTCGCAGGATTCAAACTTCAGGACCTTCGGTCTTGCGCGTGAACACCTAACCTCTGGACCGTTGGGCCTTCTAATATATATATATATATATATATATATATATATATATATGCTGCAGTTACTCTTCAAAAGTCTAAATAACTGATCTAAAACTTGCGTAATATTTTCATAACTTCTATGATTATCGCACCTTCCATTTTATCTGTTTCTAGACTTCATATAATTGCTATCTCACCCACAATCATGTGTACATTTGAACTTTAATTCCTTTCATCATAAATGTCAGCTTCTTCATATTATAGCATACCTCAGTGTTACACTTTATTTTAAATATGGTTGTGAGTAGCTGATGGCCTCGAGTGAACAAATCAGAATTAAGATGATATCTCGTGTATTTCGTATGAAATTTAAAGTTTAGTGAAAGATAACTTGTATGTTATTCTCAGCGAAGTAAAATTTCTCATTTGTTGGTCCGTAAAATGCTTGAAATCAATCGGCATTCCTATCATGACACACAAAAAAACGAACCTACCAAACATAACTGCTCTCAAGGTAAATCGTCTGTTAAGGTACTTCTTGTGACTCAGTGTGTCGTCATGAGTGTTTAGTGAAACTAGACAGTATCGTCCTTTTCTGACTCTCACACTAAATCTCAACTATAAGTCTCTTAAGTTTGTATTCAGTTGAATGACAAAACATTGTGTCATAACTAATGTCAGTTCGTGATCGAAGACTCTAATTTAAAAAACCAAACTCAGAACTGGAGCTTAACTCTTAATACACATCTCTAGCCGCTTTACGTTATCGCTAGTTTCGGCTGATGTCGAAAACTGTGATTTTTAAAAGGTGGAATCAGCCTTTTCCTTCCATTACAAGGAATAATTTGACATATGAAGGTTGATTATTCAGATCAATGTTATTATTACACTGATATTTTATGACTTTCAGTTGTTGAGTGTTTTCTAATTAGGTATCATTCCTTGATTGGCTCAAAAGTCTCTCAAGTTCCTTAGTGTATTCTGCTTTTACCATGTACTAACTTGTGTCTGTCAGTCCGTCCGAAGCTGCTACCTTGACGTGGTGGTCGGGCATGCCTATCGTGATGACCCAACCGAACTATATTGGCTGGAACTTATGTTCCTGAAGGTTCTACCATGCAAGGCAGGTCGATTGGAGAGCGATGAGACTAAAAGCAGCTACTCAAGGTCTGAGGGCGAAGTCGTACTAACGCGTGTGATCAGTGACAGTTCGCTTCAGTTGTTATTATTTATTTATATTCTATTAAATAATAACTCTTTGTTGGTGTCTTAATTTAAGTTTCGATTTTTGTTTGTAGGATAATTCCGATCACAGCTCACCCAGCATTTGACAAAGTATGATTTCTTTTTTTTATCTGAAATCCATTTTTCATGTTAATTTTATGATATTTTGTTGCATGGAGGTTTTTGTTTTCGATAGAACAGTGAGAAGAGGTAATTGATCTAAAAAATGTGATGTATTTGCGCTATACATGTCGAACAATCTGGTCACACATATTTACTTGTCAAGGCATTTTACATGAACATGAATAAAAGGCCGATTAAATAAAAGTTCAAATAGACAGGGTGATAATTGTAAATAAAGGAGAGAGAAAATTAACGTAATATGAAAAGAATAAGAAGGGGTAGGAAAATTGTCACATTACCCTAGGCTTAAAGATTACCAAGGTAAATTCAAGGTTTTTATTTCACAATATTAAATCTTTATCTGCAGTTCAATACAGCTGATGGTTTGTCACAGATTAGTCTCATCTGTACAACTAAGAAGTATCAAAAAGTAATTGCATCTTAGTTGTAAATGCAAATTACTCACGGAGTACACATTTATTTACTATTAGTCATCCAAATACATCCTACTCTGGAATCCTTTTGTCCTATGCGCACCTATAGTCTTATTAAAGATAGAATATTCCAAACTTTTAAATCTTTCAATGACTGTTGAGTTCGAGACTAGGTATAAACATTTATTTAACAGGTTAATGTGTTAGTCTCTCATCAAATTGTCTATATTATTAAATTCTTTTACAATAATTTATTCAATGGAGTCAATAACGAATATTTTTTTGTCAAATACATGAATAAAATCAACATTATTCATTTATTGTTCATCTATATGAATTAAACACAGAGAGAGAATTCATTAAAAGTGTTTCAATATGAAGACAAGAAATATTTATTGCCAATTAAAACCACTCACTATGATGAGTGTAGTACATTCATCTGCCATATGTTTTTTTTTAGTCAGTAAGCCTTCTTCAAATGTATCATCATCAAAGCAAGAGTAGGATTTAGTTCGATTCATACACTCAACACCTAATATTATATTTGAAAATGTCACTAATTTCATTACTGGAAATAGATTAACACTAATACTATGTATTTCATCTCTCACTTCATCAACAATCAATGAGTATTCATCTCTCACTTTTATGCTATATTTAATCAGAACTTTGAAAAACAATTGATTGTTAACATCTCAAATCAGTACACTATATACTTCATGCTTGTATCCCACTAAGACCGATCATCAGTTCCGACAAGAAGATAGATGATAATATTTTGTCGAAAAGTACCAATTCTCATACTAAGCTGACATTTTATTTCTATCAATTCCAATTGTTCAACATCAAATTATTTTATTCATCCAGCTTAGTTTCATTCATTTTTTTTATTCTTATATTTACATTTTAGGCTGCACATTATTTCTCTATTAAAGTTATTCATGTTCCATTGGATCCTGTTACGTATAAAGTAGATATGATTGAAATGAAATCATTAATAACTGATGATACTTGTATGGTATGTTTATTTGATCATCGTTATTTACTAGGGGGACAATTGTAATTTATCATTGACACATTTATATTATTCATTTATCAATCGTATAATATGTTTAATCTCATCTCATACTTTTCACTCCCTGATCTCATCCAGTCTATCATTAAGATTAACAATGTGAAGTTATTACACATTTGAAATCATTAATCAATCATCATTGTTAGACCACCATTAGAAACCTGGAAGCACTGGACGGCCGTTTCGTCCTAGTATGGGACTCCTCAGCAGTGCGCATCCACGACTCCTGCTCCTCGCAGGATTCGAACCCGGGACCTTTGGCATTGTAGGCGAACGCCTTACCATCGGACCACTGGGCCGGCATCCAACGGTGTTAATGTCTAACTCTGATTGATCTAGGGATTTTGCGCGACCTCACCCATTTGTCTTTGGTAGTTACTGCCTACACCCGACAGGGTTGAACTCCACTGGTCACGTCTTCTCAACTAGAACTCCGAGAATTTCCTCACGAAGCTAGTCACTAGTGAGCACTGTTACATTATATTGGGGCACAGTTTTGGAGGTTTGCGTTTTTACACATTTGAAATCATTAATGTGAAGTTAATCAAGATATGCGAGACGGGTTGGTCTTAGGGAAGGTAGAGTTATTTAGGAGGTAAGGGATCTATTTGATCTTTAAACAAGTTGATTTTGTGTACTGTTAGGAATTTAAGGGCGGCTGTCACATACCCTCTTCCCACACCATGGAAGAACCCGGCTTCTTGAGGGGCTAGTTTAGCGTTGCTTTTACTTACTTGAAAGTGATACCACAGAGCTCAAGGCTCAATTGCCTGGGGTTAATCACGTACAGTCTTTTCACAGGAAGTTGTCAAGGTGTTAGCTCTCTTCTACATTAGTTCTTACTGCCAGAAACGGAAAGTTGAAGTGTGACATTTTTAGCTTTGACCTTTTCTAACCACTTTCTTCCATAATGAGAAGGCAGCATGGCTGTAGATGCTGGTCTACCAATGTAAACATGTTATTGTCGTCAAACCCCTTTACAGTCAGTAGTTTGAATTCACCCTTAGACCTTAAGTTACTGGTTTTAGTCTTAATGTTTCTCAACCGACCTGCCTGGGATAGTAGGATTGAAAGGAACTGGCTAATCAAACAGGTAGATAAATCTTATTACTGACATTACGAACCGACCTTAACTAGACAATCAGTAAATATCACATCAATACCTATTATTATTTACAATTCAGAGTATATTAATGGAGATTTTTCAAATAGTTGAAATGTTTGCAATAATTAAACTAACTTAATAATATATTGGTCAAACGTTTTTATTCTATTCAGGCGTAAGTTGTGAGGTGTACTTAATATTTATTCAACAGTCAATCTTTAATAAAAGTCCCATTCATAAATACTTGTTAGTTTGGTTTATTATTATAAAATACAAACGTTTACATTGATACTCTTATCTGCTTCATTAATCGATTTGAATTCTAATTATTTTTCTAGCTTGTTGGTTCAGCACCCGGGTTTCCTCATGGAATTATTGATCCTATTAAAGAGATTGCAGAGGTACTTATTTCTTCGTCTATGTATTAATTAATTAATAAACTTGATTTGATACGATCACGACTTGCTAATCACTTTTATTTTTTGAAATATGATAAGCTGTCTGTAAAGTTTTATTACTACTGTTAAATTGTTTGTTTTATCATAAAATGCCTTGATATGATGGAGGGTAGAAAAAATTCCACTCTTCTATTTGAAACACTGAGTGTTCATAGCCTTTTCCAGAGAAATTCTAATCATTGCATTCACGTACCGTAAGTATTCTATTTTTGCAAAAGTAAGAGGTTGAAAGTGGTTGTTGGAGTCCTCATATGCCTATGGTACGACCGGGAGTGGAAAGAGTCAACCCACTCTCTCTAAATGCCCTCTTATAACTATGCGTATATAGCCACTACCATAGAGTTCCTACTTATAGTGCCTTCTCGTGTGACAGGAGTGTTGTTTACGAAATTGAGAGGACGAAAGGAGTATGTGCGACCAGCACTTAAACCAGACTGGTGGATACGGAGGATGGACTCAGAAGAGTTGGGAAATCCTGGTTCCAAAACAATGTTTCGTGTGAGCTCCACGATTCTGATGGAACAAATAGTTTATCAACCTATTGTTGGTGACCGTGTACCATGAGATTGCATCTCCTAATGTTGTTCCACCACTGCGTTGTTTGTGTATTAGACTAATAGGTGAAAGGCTTGTGATGTGTTTTCCTAATAGGACCACGTGCTTCACTTTGGACATCCAGTCATTATCCCACCCTTTTCACAAATTCAACAATTTGTGTGGCCCAAAATATTAGAGTACCCCCTTGGACTAGTGTTTGTGTGATCATAACCGAATCGGATAATTAATGTTCTTTTTTCAGTTAGAGCTTTGGAGACTCTTGTTTTTTACACATTTGAAATCATCAATCAATCATTGTTAGACCACCATTAGAAACCTCGAAGCACTGGACGGCCATTTTGTCCTACTATGGGACTCATCAGCAGTGCGCATACGAATGAAAGATATGCGTATTAACTTTGTTCATCAGTTACCATGACATTCTCACTGGACAATGCCTTCACAGAGTTAGTCACTAGCTAACTCATGCTAATTGTTATTATAAGGTTGTGGAAATTGTTTCAGTTTCATTGAAATCCAGGTTTCTAAGGTTGTTGGAACATTGATCGGTGCAAGATTTCATTAAACTAGAATGATTAATCCAAACTATCTGATAACCTGTTCACTTAATCGATCACAAATGTGTAGATACTTTTTGTTATATTTTTCTTAACTATTTTATTTGTTATTTTAACCAGTTAATGCTAACACTTTCACTATCCAAACTTGTATATTTGTTTTCATTGATTTTTATGTTTATTTTTTCTTTATTTCATTATTATTTAGTTAGGCTACAAGTATAATATACCAGTACATGTTGATTGTTGTTTAGGTGGTTTCCTTTTACCATTTATGGAAAAAGTTAATTATCCCATTGAACCATTCGACTTTCAATTGCCCGGTGTCACTAGTATATCATGTGATACACATAAAGTTAGTGTTGTTGTTTTTTTTTTGGTTTTTAGTAAAAGCATTTGTTTATTTAACTAGTGTTTATTTTTCTTTTCAAAATTATCCTCTTCGTTGATTGAAAGTATTTGAGACAGTGATTTTCCATTTTAACTATTCTGTCATTAAATGCTGATGAGTCGTCGCCAGAGAAGGATGAAATCCGTGTCATGAATTTCACTGATAATCATAATTATATTCATTTGAATTATCTATATTATATTTTGTTCAGTAAACATGAACACATTTTTCCACATTGTCTCATTATAGTTGTCAGTCAGTCAGTCAGATGCAACGTAGAACTTCGTACGTAAGTACATCAGTTAATGTTGCCATACCACATCAGCACAGAGATGTAATTGTCAATTCAAATCCAATAGTAGGAGAGGTAGTAAAGGTATTAGAAGTAATCGGAGAGGTTAGGATTAGAAGATATTATTCAAGAAGTATGATTCAGTGAGAAAAGTTTAGAAAGTCAAAACTAGAGGGGTTGAAGAATCCAGAAGATTAGGATTTGAGAGAACACAAAGCATAAATGCACCGGCACCATTGCAAATGGTTTTGAGCCATGTCATTCAGGGTCTCTAACCATCGATTATTATCATCTCGCGGACCCCAACCAGGTAGTCGACAATTACCGACATGGCTCAGTCCACTAGTCAATGACTTCATGGATTTCTGCCATGTTTTGGTTTGGCCGCCCCTAACTTTCTTCCAAACTACTCCTACACTACAAAACAAAGCTCTTCGAGGCAGTCGGTGGTTCGCCATACGCAACACATGTCCCAACCACCTCAACTGGTGAAGTTTCAATACTTCATCTATTGACCTGCCATCCTTACCTAGCACCCGTTTCCTAATAACACCATTGCTTACTCGAGCAATGCTTCGAAGACACCTATGATCGTGAACCAGTAACCTACGAATATCTTCTACTCTCACTGGCCATGTTTCACAGCCATATAGGAGAACGGAGCGAACCACTGCACAGTACACTCGTCCTTTAGTCAGCAAACGGATATCTCGCCTACGCCATAAGTGACGCAGGTTGGCAAAAGCCAATCGAGCCTTCTGTATCGGTGCTGAGATTTCGTCAGTCACCAGGCCATCGGCACTGATGAGACTCCCAAGATAAGTGAAGCGGTCAACACGCTCGACTACTTCACTTCCTATCACTAGTTCAGGTGTCGACGCAACCCAATCTTGAAGCAACATTTTGCATTTCGAGGGGGAAAGCCGCATGCCGAACATGTTTGCATTGTTGCTTAGTGTGGTCAGAAGACTCTACATTTTGTCAGCTACTTCACCAAGTAGGACTATGTCCTCGGCATATTCTAAGTCAATAAGCGAGCCACCTGGCAGAATGTCTACTGAAAATTCAGACGAGGATAAGGTTATATCTGGGAGCATGTCTATGATAAAATTAAACAAGAATGGATAGAGTGGACATCCGTGACGGACACCACTTGAAGTAAAGAATTCCGGTGACAGTTCGCCATAAGCTCTCAATCGACCAGTGGTGTTATTATAGTTGTATGTTTTTCAATGCTGTAAAGCGACAATTTATCTGATGCTTAGTTAACTCTTGCATAGTGTTGCATTAGTTGAATTGAATAGTTTAGTTACGAATCATTTATTGCCATTAATCTCTTACTGCAAATCAAAGTTGTTAAGATTTATTTTACATTTTCCAATCACCTAAATCAGAGGTTAAAAATATACACGTTTCCATGATATAAACTCATAGTGGATATGAAATTACTAATAACAAAAGGCACATTGATTAGCTGTTTTATTCTAGTTTTAGGCTTTGAGATAGTAAAGAAAATTTGTCGCTCAAGTGGATGATTATGTTTCGTGCCCTGAGCTAAGAGGACAAAACGCCATAGTTCTAGACTCTTGAACGATATGTCTCGCTCCACTAATTCGTACGAGATCATGCTCGAAAAACTCAGATTTCTTGTTCATTGAGTTAATCATGTAAAGGCTGTGATTCATTTATGTCACTGGATAAAGATTGCATTTCATAATAAATTAGTTAAAGTTAGAAGTATGTATTCAGTAATTTGAATATATCGTAATCTCCACGTGGGTGAATTCTAACGCGATGTACTAGGTCGTAGTAGTAAGTACACAAAACTTGGATGAAACAAATAATAATTATAATTTTTTCCAGAAGGTACCTTATCCATTGTACAGATGGTTTACAAATTGTTTATTTGAAATTATGAATCGAGAAGCCGTGGCCAGTGGATTTCAACGTTGTTGTTTGTAGGCAGTAACTACTGAAGACAATGGATAAGGTTGTACAATACCTTAAATTGATTAAAGTTAAACATTAACAGGGTTAGATGCTGACTTAGTGGTCTTGGGGTTAAGCGTTCGCGCGCTAGACCGATGGTCCTGCATTCGATTTCTGCGAGCCGGAAACTGACAAATCTTTAACTGTGACCTACAGAATTTTAAAAGTAGGGAATACTCAACACTTTTCTGTAGTATTTTGTGTTGTTCGGTTTCTATTTAAAGAGAAATGATTCCAATAATGATTATTAGAAGGTACGGATTTATTTTTCTTGTCGCTATTAGATGACACATTTTGACATAGAAGTTTCAGATTCCGTTCCAGCCGGTTAGCTTTACTGTTTCAAGATCTGAACGCAATACTCGCGAACTCATCAAAATCTGCCAATTTGAGCAGTAAGGCAAGACTGGAATAGACAATCTGTTTAGCTGCTAAATCATAGGTACAGATACCCATCTATGTATATATGATAAACATGTCCTTTACGACGTTTCCGATGATCATTAAATGGCCTTGTCATTTGACCACTTCTGATTGGCTCACTGTCAGTTATCACTCACTTCTCACTCATTAACATAATAATTATAACCTATTCTTATTAATTAATGAACTCTATATTGTATATTTCTTTGACCATTTCTTATCTAGACAATTTCATGTATTGGTTGTAAATAAATGTCGATGCACTGAAATAAACACTTTGTTTTTATACTTTTAAGATATTGGATTGCAATCCAAGCATTCATATTATTATTATTATTATTATTATTATTATTATTGTTATTATTATTATTGTTATTATTACCATTGTTTCTTTCTTTTTCTTTGTAGTATGGATTTGCACCAAAAGGCACATCTGTTATTATGTACAGAAATCAATATTATCGATCCAAACAATACTTTACTCAGACAACTTGGCCAGGCGGTATATATGCTTCGTCAACTTTACCCGGTAAGGTCATCTCTGAATTATTATTAGTTATTATGTTTTTATTCATAATGACAGTATTGATATCAACTTATTTATAAAAGTTATATACTATGACAGTTAAGCATACACAATAATTTGTTTACTTTTGCATAATAATTGTTGTTGTTATTGCCTAATCATTATGCTTACAAAGAAATATTGACGTATACATACGTATTTATGTTTTCAAAGATAATTAGAATAAGACTGATTGATATCTTTCTTTTTTTTTAAATAAAGAATGTGTTTACTTTTTTTTTAACAAGACACCCTATGTCAATGAAATAATTTTGTTGTTTTCTTAAGTTTGCTGTAAACACGACTATTATTTTAAAGTGGCACCGACAGGTGTATATGCGCTGTACATGAACAAAATAAGATTATGAAGACATAGAGAAAGGAAAGTATGCGAAATTTTAAAAAAAAAACAGTAAATAAGTATAACTAATTGAGAATTTCTAGAAAAAATAAAGGTAGAAGCAGTTTAATGTAGAAAAATCTAACCAGAAAGGATTTATTTAGTTTAAGATGTTCATCTGACTTACAGAAACACTACTGGCTTCTATTCTGAGCCATGTCTGCTAACGTCGTAAGTCTCTATGTTGCACTGTCTCAAGGATCCCAAGCGGAGTATTAGGAAAAACCAACAAATTCCAGTCCTACATAGCTGTATTTCATATCATGACACCGTGTCGTATGAATAAATAAACTAGTGAAGACGCTGACAAAATGCAGAGTCTTCTGACTGCCCTAAGCAACAATGCAAGTATGTTTCGGGATTCGGTTCTCACCCTCGGAATGCAGAATATTGCCTCAGGATTGGCTTGTATCGGCACTTGAACTAGTGCTAGGGAGTGAAGCAGTTGAGCGTGTTGACTGCTTCACGTATCTGGGTAGTCTCATCAGCGCTGATGGCCTTGTGTTTGACGAAATCTCGGCATAGATACAGAAGACTCGATAGGCTTCTGCCAATTCACGTAATTTGTGGAGTATGAGAGAAATCCGTTTGCTGACTAAAGGATGAGTGTACTGCGCAGCAGTTCGCTCCGTCCTACTTTATGTCTGTGGAACATGGCCAGTTAGAGTAGAAGATATTCTTAGGTTGCTGGTTTTCGATCATCGGTGTCTCCGAAGCATTGCTCGAGTATCGTGGGACAGCCGAGTAAGCGATGTTATCGTTAGGAAACGGGTCTTAGGTATGAGTAGCAGATCAACAGATGAAGTATTGAAACTTCATCAGTTGAGGTGGTTGGGACATGTGTTTGCTCTGGCGCATATGCATCCATTTTTTGTCTTCTCTCAAATCTTCTGAATCCCCCATCACCATTATCTTTATTTTTTAATTTATTTCACTGGATTGTACTTCTTGAATGATATCTTTGAACCCTAATCTCCTCCATTAACGCCAATACTTTTACTACCTCTTCTACTATGGGATTTAAAGTGACAATTGCACCTCTGTGCTAATGTGATATGGCAACTCGGACTGGTATACGTACGTACGAAGTTCTATGTTGTTGTTGACTGACTGACTGAATTAATTATTTTTTGGGACTATGATAATTTATACTTTGGCAAAGTATTTGTTGATATAATTAGAAGTTGAAAATGTATTGCCTTTTTAGGAAGTTTCCAGCATTTTTACAGTTCACGTTGAGTGAAAACGTCATTGTAGTGAAATAACGACTGGTAACGTTCATACGTACCAAGTTCTACGTTGCAACTGACTAATTGTGCTAGATTTATCATTATATATTAATCACTCGCTTATTACACTGGTTTTGTAATTGATGTACATATTGTAATCCTTTAATTGTATGGTTTCTGAATTAAAATTGAATTAAGTACAGTAAAGAATGGATCTGCTTTCCATCTTCTGATTGACCATTTGGTTAGAAAAACTTTGGGATCGATAAAGTTAAATAATGTATTGTTTATTGTTCATCGGTTGATATGCTGATTGGTAAACAGATTGACGGACCCAATGACGATATAAGTGAACTAATCACCTATCGTACTCGTCGTACGGTTGGATCATGAGAAACTCAAACTCAAAGCTACCTAAACAATCGGTTTTTGATTTTTTTTCCCTAATATAGCAGATAGATTTTTAAATCATATTTTCGCTTTTGATTTACTTCACTGACTAGAAGGATCAATTTTTCATATTTCAAGAATTTGCTCCTAATGAAGTTCATTCAATAAAGATTAATTAATTATGATCAGTGATCATTTCAATAATATTATCACCAGTTGTTTTTAAAAATCGTTAAGCAGGGAAATTTCTTTCGTCTCATATATATATATATATATTGCGGCAGAGTTTTGGAGGTTTGTGTTTTTTACTCATTTGAAATCATCAATCAATCATTGTTAGACCACCATTAGGAACCTGAAAGCATTGGACGGCCGTTTCGTCCTGGTATGGGACTCATCAGCAGTGCGCATCCACGTCTCCTGCTCCTCGCAGGGTTCGAACCCAGGACCTTCGGTATTGTGCGTGAACGCCTAACCATCGGACCACTGGGCCGGCGTTCGTGCACCGGGTCCCGGGTTTGAATCCTGAGAGGTACAAGAGTCGTGGATGCGCACTGCTGATGAGTCCCATACCAGGACGAAACGGCCGTCCAATGCTTCCAGGTTTCTAATGGTGGTCTAACAATGATTGATTAATGATTTCAAATAAGAAAAAAATATATATATATATATTCCTCAGTTGTTGAATTTTTCTCACACATAAATCAACTAGTTTTGTACATTTCTAGGAAGTCGATCTGGTGCACTAATCGCTACCTGCTGGGCAGCAATGATGTATCATGGAGAAAATGGTTATTGTAAATCTACTAGACGTATCATCAGTACCACACAACATATTACAAATGAGTAAGTTAAATAGATAACATCTTATGCAGTTGCTTCATTTGTATCAATTAAATTTGATCATGTACAGTAGTTTTAATAGTAATTCATTCCAATGGTTTGTTTAAAAATCATAAAAGCCCTAAGCGTAATTTCCAACTATTTCGTTTTATCTTCAAAAGCTTTATATACTGAATATCTGTAACAACACTAATTAATGTTGTATTGCGAAATGTTTGGATCATTAAATTTTCGCTCATTGACCGATTAGCCTATAGACCTGAAATGTTGTGTTGTATATAAATAAGCTCAGTCCTGTACCCTTTCGCCTTTAACAACTATATAGTATCAATGTGTTTTTTTATTTTGAAAAAAAATATTGTAGACCTGTAAATTGTATTCGTCATAGATTTAATTTCAGTCTATGCAATTTTGATTAATAATCTTTTCTTATTTCACATTTAGATTACGTAAAATTCCGGGTATTTTTGTACTTGGTGAACCAAATGTTTCAATTGTAGCATTTAGTTCAAATAGTTTTGATATATATAAATTAAGTCAATTACTATCAAACAAACCAAATGGACGTGGTTGGAATCTGAATAATTTACAATTTCCATCAGCTATTCATTTATGTGTTACAGATATGCACACTGGAAAAGGTTGTGCAGATCGATTTATTCAAGATGTAACTGAAATTGCTAAAGAATTAATGAAGAAACCGAATCAAAAATCTGAAGGTTCAGTAAGTTGTTTTTATTGTTCTGCGGTTGCTTGCATTAATCGGCAGCTCAACATTCAGTAAGAAAGTTGCTGGTCTTATCTACTACAGTGCATGTAACCGGCTGCTATTGACAGTCTTCATATTCAGTGTATTGCTTAAAGCCAAGTGCATAAATCTGTACTTGGATAATAAGTTAAACAAATCTTTTGTCACTTAATCACAATTAAATCATCCTCCAAATGCTCTGGTATACCTGTGTGTGGAGAGAGTCCACCCACTCTCTCTAGATGCCCTCTATAACTACGCGTATATAGCCACTACCGTAGACTTCTTATTTATACTGCCTTCTCTTGTGACAGGGGTGTTGTTTACCAAATGGAGAGGACGAAAGGCGTATGTCCGATCAGCACTTAAACCAAACTGGTGGATACGTAGGATCAACTCAGAGGAGTTGGGGAATTCTTGTTCTAAAACAATGGTGCGTATGAGCTCCACGATCGTGATAGAACAAATAGTTTATGAACCTATTGTTGGTGACCGTGTACCATGAGATTGCATTTCCTAATGTTGTTGCACCATTGCTTTGTTTGTGTAATAGACTTATAGGTGAAAGGTTTGTGATGTGTCTTCCTAATAAGACCATGTGCTTCACTTTGGGCATCCATAAATATTCAGGCGCTCTTTTATACCGATGTCTATGTGTGTATATAAAATAAGTTTAAATAAAAATGACATGAATGAACATAGTGGTGTATGACTGTGACCTTTTAAATTCATGATGTTACTTCTGCATAGAATTAATCAAACTTTTAAAAATGTTTTTATCATTAAATAATTTTTTATTCATTCATCTGTGTTAGTTAATAGATAATTCGCTGTTGATTGAACAGATTTCAGGGTAAAAGTAAACGTAATATGTCACTATGAACACTCCGATTGAAGGCAAACTTTTTCACTCAATTGATCATCATTCATATGAATGCAATATTTGAAAGCTTTTAATATTTTCATTATCTTCTGTTATATATATATATATATATATATATATATATATATATATAGGTTTTGGTGGGGTTTCATTTTCTAAGCTGGATGGTTTAGTTGTGAAGCTCTCATTGTTTCTCCGGAACAACATCATCAACACAAGCTTCAGGTAGAAGTGAAGTATTCGGATTTCTCCACGTACGAATGGCAGCTTGTCTTATGGATTTGATCTTGTTTTGTTTATATCTCCTTCTGATCTGTCTCTTGATCCTGGATCTGGGTAAAACGCTACATCAGACAAAGAAGACGACCTCTTCATCTTCGACTTTGTTAACATCAATCAACAGTCAAACGCCATGATATTTCTTTTCTTAGATCAATACCTACAAGCAATTGTGGACATACATGAAGGGAGAAAGTACAAAGAACAGTAGAGAATTTTTATAAGTTTAGCACCCAGGTATATCGGCAATCATTAGGACACATCGACATTCATGCAATATATCAACTAATCAGAAGAATAATAGACAAGCATGCAATCCAGAACAAGGTCAGATGGAGATACTGTCAAAATAAAGGTACAGACAACAACAGGTTTAAGGTCAATAATGAATGAAGATCGAGGTCAATAGGACAAGCTGCCACTCGTACGTGAAGAAATTCGAATACTTCACTTCTATCTGAAGCTCGTATTGATGATGTTGTTTTGGAGTAACAATCAGAGCTTCACAACCAAACTATCCAGCTTAGAAAATGAAACTCCGACATAATCATTCACTTGAACTGCAAATTTTCTCCATCATCTCAAAATATATTGATTTATTTTTTCAATATTTAAAGGCTGCTATATACGGATTATCTCAGATGATACCGGATCGTTCAATTGTTGCTGAATTAGCTCATTGTTATTTAGATGCATATTATGATACACCGAATAATAATGAGTAATAATAATAACAATAATAAAAGGTAAAGACATTATCTAACCAATAAAGTTTAGCTTCTGGAAACTGAGAATTCAATTGCATTCTTTACAACTTATGTTTCATGAATATTATTATTATTATTAGTAGTAATATTAACTTTTTTTAAAATGGAATCTATGCGTCACTAGTACTTCGATTTGTAATTGCACCTTTTATCTTGCGTGTATTTTTATTTTTGCTAGTTCTTTCATTGATTTCCTGTTTCGTTATCAGTCCGTTTACCTATCATTGTTCGTTTATTTACTTGTATGATGCAGTTATTTCATATCTGAACTTGTCTTCTTTTTCCTCTTTTTGAGGTTTACAAACTCCAGTACAGTTTTTACTGTTGTTCATATCTTATAATTGTCACTCGTGAATAAAATTCTTACATATGAATATGTTCAGTTATTGATCGGTTGTGTGCTAGTTATTCGAGCAAGTTTGTGTGTATATTTATGTGTGTGTATGCTTAGGAATTCGATTATCAAATAAACAAGTAACATTCATATCTGTAAATACCAACCCTATTTTGTTCATCTTTGTCGATAATCTACATTACTGACTGACTTCAGTCATATATTCAGTAAAAACCAGAGAAAACTGTAATTTAAGACTTCTCAACAGTGATCACTCGTACGTCTTAGTGATTGAACCCACCATCTTCAAACCTATAGGTTGATTTACAATTACAATTGCAGACATTATACGATGTTAAGCTGCCGCCGCCTATTGTTGTTCGTCTACTGAAGTAGCTTCTTTAAAGTTGTTGGGACTCACTTGGAAAATGTCCTAATGTTGGATTTTATGCTTTCACACATGGGCCAGTCAGTTGACCTTGAGATTACATTTTTCACCCGGAAAATCCTTGACTGTTATTTGTTGATGTAGCATTTTAGTACTCTATTTTTGTGGCTCTCCCAAGGACGTTTCTGTCATCTATAAGTAAACTGGATTTGTGTGCTTTCCAACCTCATATTTACTGGGTGCTTGTAGAATACACTCTCTACGCCGTATCAAGACATTTTGATATCGTTAGAAGGGCGGGGGATAATCGAATCAGAATAGCCTATCGTGTCACTGCATCATTTGTCTTCGCTCTCGTTTACCGAGTAGTCGGAACTCGTAAAAGTTTCAAGCACACCGATTGACGAGCATATCAAAAGTTATCAGAATAATCGATAGTTTGTTTGGATTCAACGACAGTGGCTTTCAATTTAAAATTTCAACATTCATTATCTTAGGCTGAATGTCATCTGATAATCTAAACCTGACTTAACTGGTTCCAATTCGAGACTCTATAATTTATTATGGGATTTTTAAAAAGAAACTACCATCGAAAGATTTTTCACACGTCCGGTAATTCGCAGACAATTACGTACTCGCACTAGATCATGGTCTGAATTTAAACTAGTGCCCCAGAACGAGCGACAGCCCTCTATCGAGCCTCTCCATTGGTGGCTGGTGGCGGTGTGATCTAGTTGTGTCCAGAGTTGAGACGACTTTGGGGATGGCCAGGTCAAAAGGTGTTTCTCCTTATGCCTAAAGTTAGTGTTTGCTAGGAATAGGCGGTTATCTGAGCATAGTTGCAGCAGACGGTCGCCGTTATCTGTTCGATTAGCTGTGACAACATAATATCCACTCAGGTGACTTTCCTTTTCACTAAGTCTACTTACTTGAGCATTGAAGTCACCAGCCATTATTACTATATCAGAGCACTCAGTTTTTTGAAGGAGATTAGAGATTTTTCAACTTCGTATCTACTGGGATCCAGTCAAGGAGAGATTGTTCTGCCCTACGACTCAATGCTATACCTACACCAGCGGGACACCAGGAAGCAGCAGCAGGGCTTCCAGATACACGAAGAGTAAATCGAGTTGCTTCTTTATTTTGACAAGGAGAAATTAAATTGATGAATTTCCTTGGATCCTGTATGCGCGTTTCGGAGACGCAGCATACACCGATGGCGCGAGATTCTGAAGTCCTAGCTAATGAAGCCTGTTGCCCTATTTGACTTAATGTCCGGACATTAAAAGCTTCAACATGTGATTTAGAACGAGGTTTCAGGAGACTAGGAATAACGTTTCGTGAACTCGAGTCGTTTGCATTAACAGTGCAGGGTGTTAAAGGGATATGAGGAGGATGAGACGTGTAGATAAGAGAGATGTTTAGGGGGTGTAGGAAGGATTTGAGTGTGACCGAATCGGTCTCGTTTGCTGTCGCGGGTACGAGGGTGGTCTTCACTTCCCGGATGTCGTTACGGTGGAAGGGTGTTTCTTGAGTAACCTGAGAATGAAGGTAGATTAGTGTTGGTCTTAACGACCTGGGAGGATGACCACAGAGTCCAAGGGACAAGTGATTCAGGCCGTTGACACATGGCCTTTTTATGGGTAGTGTTTAAAGTGTTAACTCTGTTCTTGTTTAAAAGCCCTTACCTCCGGAGACGGAAATCTGTGAGGTAGGATGAGGTGTGACATTTTCAGGGTGGACCTTTTGTAACCGTTCCTTCCTTGTGAAAAGGCAGCATCGCTGCAGATGCTGGTTGTCCGAGGGAAACACCTTACTGCTGTCACACCCCTCTACAGTCAGCAGTACGACTTCGTCCTTAGATCTGGAGTAGCTGCTTTTAGTCTCATCGTTCTCCAATCGACCTGCCTGGCGTGGTAGAACCTTCAGGAACATATGTTCCAGCCAATATAGCTCGGTTGGGACATCACGATAGGCAAGCCTAACCATCACGTCAACATAGCTGCTACGGTCGGGGTAAGGGGCTCAACCACTGAATTATTGACTGATTCAATGGGCGAGTTTCACTCCAACACTGGTGTAGATGTCACATTTGAATCTTGATGAAGAGATACAAAGACATTTTTCTTATTAGGATATCTCTTCAAAAGTAGGAATTCTTCGGAAACTAAAAACAGATAAATATTATAATTATCTAGACTTTATTTTACCAGAAAATTCCAGCGATTTTTGATATTAGTGTACAATAATTAACAAATTTTTACTACCTGCCTTATGACTGTTAAGAGAGCTGAAGTTGGTTTCGTTTCATATGTTGCGTTTGCTAATAAGCAGTGCGAGAATCTTAGGTTGCATTTACTGTCAGACGAAGGATTTAAGTGTATTCAGATTGCAGTCACCGTCAGATTCATATGTACGTAAGCAAACGGAATCAGACTCCAACTTTACATTGGAAGGCATTGCTAATGAATGTCATGGAATTAATAATCTTGAAAATAACACTAAGATGATTGAATGTTCAAGTTCTAGTCAAATACCTTGCTTTGTTAACCTTACCTTATATGATTCCGTGAAACTTTCTCATTCAAATCAAATTAATAATGTCCCGAAGTATGACTCACAGATATGCTCTTGCTGAAATCAAAAATCAAATGTTCATAACGTGCATCGTTATCCGACGCCTTCCATTAGTTACTGGGACTGTGGAGCATGGAAGTTTTCCTATTTTTGTCCATTCAGTAATCACGAATGTGCAAAATGTGGAGTAACTGGTCACACCGAAGGATTTGGCGGACGTGAAATCCCTCATCACTATCAGATATCGAAAAAATTGACTGTGTGCATACGTGATCCAATTCTAAGCCGAACGTCTACACAAATATGTCAATTATCATATCACATTATGACTGGACACTGTTTCTGATGTCGCTCTAATTTCTTGAAAAACTTGGTCGGTCAAACATCCATTCTACGACCGTTTGCGTAAAGAATGAATCGAGCATTCCAATCGAACTTGTATTTATTATTAAATACAGCATGAAATTCTGGGGTTTCCTGTAGTTTAGTATCAACATCAAAATGATCCTGAAAAGTATATAAAAAGCCTATTCTAATTTGCCTAACCCAATTGCAAAATTCCATTTTGAGATTTTCATATAATTATTTTACGATTTCTATGGATTAGGAAGACTATCCAGTGCTGTTTAGTATGCAAGATTGTAGCTGTTAAGAAACTAGTCTCAGCATATGGATCCATTGAATTTTGAACTAGTAGTTTCAAACTGCCCGACTAGCTTCCACTTGTTATTCTATCTATTATTAAATGACCTCAATTTTTACTCCTTTGATATGTTTTAGTGGTGAGTAAGCATCATGACTGACAATAAGACCTAAATTTGATTGACTAGCGAATGATCATCAATGTGTGTCATTTTGTTCCTAGGCAATGTAGAATGTAGCATAAATTTGCATTAACCAACTTTGTCACACCACATGAACACAACCAAATGAAGTATATTTACTTCGCCAATAAAATACGACAGTCACTTTGTTCATCAACTGTTGTTTCCTTTCAGTTGCATTCATTTAGTCACTCGGCTAAGCTGTATCACCACGTAAATAAATAATGCCTACATTACAAAAGAAACAATTTTTATTCAATTTTAACATATGTACAAATGTGGGTTTTTTTTTCTGAACAAATTGTTTTGATTAATTTCTGTAACATATTCGCAATTTATCACGATTTAGTTTTGTTATGTGCATTAAACAAAGTGTTTTCATATTTAAAATATTTGTATAAATAATTATTTATTTTCATGATTGAAATCTTTCTTTTTTTCGATGATTTATACATTCATGCTATTATTACTTGTATATATATTGATCATTGAATGGCGTATGTTTGTTTCTTTCCTCATTTGTTTTCACTAAGATTTTGTTGTTTTAACTCTTCAATTGTTTGCATGACCAATTTTAAATCATCCCTACGATAATCTATAGTTAATTTAAGATTATCTTTTAAACTAGTTATCTCATTTTGACATTGAATTAAAACAGTTTGAAATTGTTGTATACATTTAGTAATAATTTTCATAGAATGCGCTGATAATGAACATTGTGAAATTAAATCTTTTAAATAATTTTCATGAGTCAGATACTGCAATATTTGCTCTTTGTCATGATCAGATTTTATTGTTTTATCGTTTAGTGAAGAAAATGTTTTCTTTGAACATGGTTTTACGACGGTTTTCTTTGTTAGTTCAGTGTTTTGCTTTGAAAAACAAAAAAAGAAGTACAATTCATGACTAATTATTACCTGTAAAATTATAATTTTAATATATATTTAATAAGATTAACTAGTTGTTAGAGAGTTTTTATCAATATCAAAATACTTTTTTTAAGAAAAATGGTTGTAGAGGTTGTTGGATTTGGTTGCTGATACGGACTGATTTTAGCTAGATAACCACTAAAAACCACGATGCACTAAATAACTATTTCATTTTGGTATAGGACTCGTCATTATTTTCCATTTATAACCGTATCCGTTATCGGACCCATTTCCTGAGTTGATATTCACTGGTTTGCAATCCTAACTTCAGTTATCTCGCGGTATTAGTGTTCATCCTTCAACTCTGGTGATATCTCACACCCAACATTTTCGAACCTAAAGGATCAAGTCTCCCCCCTATAGCTCAGAGAACCACCTATTGTAGTTAGTCACCAGTAAACACACAATGCTTTTATATTTGTCTGAAGACTTCATGGCAAGCATGATACTATTAAGGCAAAATTTCATAATTCACACTTGTTAGCTTCTATCATTCCACAATACACAGTGATTCTTTCAAAACACTAAGCTGAGTTGATTTCCCATGAACGTCGCTCACAACAGGTCTACTATAAACGACTAACACGATCCCGATACGTATCCAGTTGGTCTTCCACTCACCTGCTGGTTTCCAAAGTTAAGTGTTCCAAAAAATATTCTAAGCATGCATCTCTTGGTGTGATCAAACTAATTTTCATTTAAGGCAATGCTGTTAGGTTTGACGCATTATAAGTCTAGCCTGGATATTGCTACACACAGAAAGAAACGTTAAATGTATATTTATGCTAACCGTACTTAGCTATCGTTGAACCTAACTCATAGTCCTTATCAATATAAAAGTCGGTTGATGGAATGATTTGAACGATAATCATAGTTTGTGTTTACAGGTGTCCTCAACAATACACTCAAATTCGTTCTTTACTTTCTTTTGTATCTTTATTTTAGTTCCATCCCATTTATTAATCAATCTTATTGGCTTCGTTCTGATTTTTCATTAGAGGTGATATTATCTCATCTACTTTTCACTGTATCGTTTTTACTTTTTCTTTTTACAACTTCAATTGTTGTATTGTAATTGCAGTGCTATTATTATACAAATTCATTCTACAGAACTGCAAGCACTAAATTCATCTCAATTCTGTAAATATATTTGTAAACTTTTTTATTAACTCACCATTTCAAGACGCATTTTTTCATGAATAAGTTCTTCGATTCTACATTCCATATTTTCTATTAACTTTATCAATCCATCACGTTCAATTGTAAGATTTTTAATATGATAAGTGTCAGACAGATCATCATAATGTGAAGAATCAGGTAAATTAGATTGTATTCCGCCGTCATTTGTGCCGGTTATTCCTTCATGTTCTTGTTCATGCAACTGTATTTGGTTGCTTGCAGCAAGACGTTCATTCATGTTATCAATAAATTGATTTTTCTCGTCAATTATTTCCTAGATTTTAAAACATAAATGCGCTATTTTCATGATACTTAGATGTGTATGACGTTAATTTGCATATAAATTACCCAACTGATGAATAAAAACCAATTCTTTCAAGTTTAAGAAAGACGGGTTTGTTCGAATTCACTTCGCTTAAATTATTTATTATCAGTTCGAAATAAACCTTTAGTTCCTGCACCAAAAAAATATTGATATCAATATAGATATTTTGTCAGGTAGACCTCTGAATATTGCACAGAGATATGGTTTATTTCAAAAACTTTTCATAAACTCGTCGCTTATTATATTTGTTCAAAACTGTCGATCTATGTAATGGCTTTATAGCCTTCATAAATTTCTAGCGAACATTTCTGTAAAAATGAAACTTTGCGTGTCACTCACTTTTTCAACACACTGGAAATTACTTTATTGAATTTTTTTCTCATGACCACTAATGTTTTCCACAACAGTCAGGGACTTTTGAAGTGTTTAATAAAAAGGTGTATTAGTGTTGTGAACATTTTTGACTTCACACAAACATTCAATCGTTTCACTAGTATCAATATTACTTAGTGGAACTGGTTCGCTTGATACTTACCGTCTCTAAGCCAGGTTTCATATTTGTGATGTCGAGTTGTCTGAGCTAAATAACATAATTACAAAGCTTTAATTATCCTACAAGATGATATTACTTAATGGAAGTTAATTAATTATGTTGTCCAGGACGATAATACATCAGCTGCATCATCCAACATTTTAGATCAAACGGTGTATTGCAACTCATATTATCCACTTGGATTACAGCTTTTCATTTCTAGGAACGCTTATTTGCTATCAATCTATAAAAACAAGCAAAACCATATCTACTTACCTCAAGTCTTTTAATTTCTGTATCTTTTCTTTGTTCTAGGTTTGCTAGTTCGTGATTAATTCTTTCTATTTCATTGTCTTTTTCTATATTTGATTGAGTAATTCTGTTTAATTCATTTTGTAAGTCATCAGTTCGACGAACTAGTGATTCAACTAATTCATCATCGTGTTTTCCTTTTTGTATTATAAACATGATTTGTTGTTTCAATTCTTTTTGCTCTTGTAACAGGTTGTGAACACGTAACTTTGTCTTTTGGAGGTTTTTTCTGGTAGAATCAATATCTTCTTCTAAACGCTTCTTTTCATCTTGAAGCTGAATCATAACGGATGTTCTGGTTTCGTTCTCTTCAATCGTGTGATTAAGTTTAGGTGAAATGTCATAGATTTTGGGTGATTTAAGTTCACCATTATTACTGTCATCTTGGAAATAGTTAACACCAAACAAAGTTGCACCTGAAAACGTTTCATTTCCTATGCTATCCTTGGAAAGAAAATCTTCTTTATGGGGGTACGCTTTCATAGCAAGCTGTGATTGTAATCTTGCAATTTTATTTTTTAATGCAATTATCTGTTGTTGTCGACCACGCCAGGCACCATCTGTTCCTTCTGTTCTTGACTTCAAATTCGTCAGCCAAGTATTTATATTTGGTATAATTTCGCCAGTTTCTGCTTCAACTACTTTTTTGGCCAATTGTAAATCATGGTTTAGAATTTGAACTTTTTGACGTAATTCTAAGACAGCACATTCAGTTTTCTTTAATTTCTTCTCTTGCTCTGTACGGTCCGATGTGTTGTCATTTTTTTCATGAGCTGTTATTTTATTCTGCCTACATAAACTACAAACAACAACCTTGTTTGATAAGCTAACTGATTCGGACTCTAATTTTCTAACTACCTGACACAAGTTATTACATCTATTTCGTTCACTAACAAGCGCAGCATTCAACTCTCTAATCTTTTTGGACAACTCAATGATTTTAAGTGAGGCTACATCTAGTCCCACATCATCAGCAAAAGATTTTCTGATTCCATTCACGGTAGCATTCTCTGTTTTTATTGAATTATCCTCGTTATAGTAGTCCGGCATTGTTTTTGTAGCTAAATTTCTGTTTATCTGAATGATTGTTTGTAAACTCAGCCTTATACGCTTGCGGCTGTTGAGCTAATTAAAGAAAGAAAATGTATAACAAAAATTCACTATGAATATTTAGAACGTTGTGTGTATGATCAAAAGGACTATTGGTAGGATCATATTTTTCTATCACTTCTTTAGCAGTTACATTCGTTGTTTTCAAGATCTTGCATTACTGACTGAGAAGTTGCATTTTAGATTTTCCCTTCCCAAAACTTAATGCTCATTTTTAGCTAGGATTCACATTAGAGCACTTAGAGGCTTATTTCGTGTAACAGTATAAATATAGTTTACACTTTTACGATGAACATATCCTATGATGAAAAAATTTCTTGCAGGTAAACAGACAATTTTATTTTTATTTGCAGTAATTGACTATGGAATTGTGTTAAACGTAAAGAACGCTTGGTTCCAATAATCACTAAGTTTGTCGTTCATTAATTATATAGAATATTTCTTTATGGATTTGTAAACTATCACTGGAAAAACAGGAAAAGTGATGTATTACATGAGCGCCATTTTATCTTGATGCTCCATGCATTTATCAAGAGAAATGTATAATTAGGTTTTCTATGAATTGGGAAACTTACAACTTTTTAAAGCATTCACGATTACAAACCCCTATGAGTGAAGTCGAATATTGCATGTACATGAATAGATCTAAATAAACTACATTTTTCTAGAACGTTATGATGATTGTCATGGTTTGAACTGCGTTAAATCCAGCGAAAATTACCTATGTAGATCGCTCACCTCTATACATTAGACCTTACTGAGTAACTTAAGGATTAAAAATTCTTTTTTCACCCATTTTTTCAAGACTCGGAAGTCTAAAGGAAGTATAACGTTGTGTCGAATACCTCACATCTGCCTGTTACTAATTTTCGGGACCTGCCGCCTGCTTTGATCAAACTGATTTCAAACTTCATATTATTCATGATTTATGGTAATACGAAGTGACAACTAAATTTTCGGACATAAATGTTGGGTTACATGTTTTTGAAACTCTCGAAACACCAGAATCAGTTAGCTAGCAAGCTAAGCCAAATCAAGTCTTTCAGTCACGACGTTAAAAGCACTTCCAGAGAAGAGTTCAAATGACTAATGGATCATTTGAGAATATAAACCAGTTCATATGTCTCACAGATTTTCAAAAGCTCTTAGAGTTAATATATTTCAAACAGCACAAACTCCTAAGAGGTGATGTTGGTGTTTAACAAACAAAAGAGACGTAAACTTAAACCACTTATTCTAAAAATAAGTAATTACCTTAGAAAAAACGTTTACAAACAACTAAAAGACCTAATTACATTTGACAGGTCATTTCTTCGTATTTTGAGTAATGGGATGAGTGATAACTTATCCCAATATTTTACTTTTTAGTCATCACCGAGACATTTGGAGGACAACTTGAAAATAGGAATGGTATCACGTTAATTCGCATTTACAAATTAAGCAACTAACGTCTGAAACATCTTTCCATGACAAGTAATAATGAATTTGCTGGAAAGTTTTACAATCGGAATATAAGCCACAAACATTTACTACCAGGATTAACACAGATAAACCAATACAAAATACCGTAAGCAAACGTTTGTAGTCCGGTCGCCCACTGATAGAACAATAATTATTAATCCAGCGAAATACAAATTAAAAGTTACAAATTCGACACGATCAAAGTGCCGCGCAAAACCTAGGAAACGATCTTGTTGTATCTGCCATTGATAGACGTTACTTAGTCCTGGAAGGTCAATATGTTACAGAACAATTTGTGCGTCAAGTCGATGATACATAAGCTAGTCGAATGAGGAAAATTTCAAATTCCGTTTTAGCTCTGCTGCACCATTTACGATAACCTCAATCCTCAGCCAATGAGAGAGGCCATCGTTGTGATATATTGTGTAGGAACAACATTCAGTGATATCAGGTTGTCGAAAACATTTTTCGTTTACAACAATTTTTAAACCTGTCTCAATAAAAAAAGTAAGTTGATATGACTTCGGTGGTTATTTATTTGTAAAGTATGTGCAGTACAATACGTCATATCGGCATTTAAAGTCAATGAGCGTAGTCCAACTATTAAATACCAAAGCCCATAACCGTACAAAAGCAACATGAAGCAGGCACAAAGAAACTAGATGGCTTGTGCAGCCTCGTGAAGAAAATGTCGAACATTGGCAATATTTTTTTCTCAGCAATGTTTGTATATAGGAACGCAAACAGAGTGCATAGGTATCCACTGCCTGTCTTCAGGATATAGATGGCAAACTTGATCAGCATTCTTCTAATTACTGTACAACTCACCAACCTTTAGATGGCTGAGATCTTAAACACAAACTTCACTGATCAGTCAACCAGGTATCCGCATGTTCAGAAAAATACATAAACCTACTGCCAGCTGACGGCTTAGAGGATATATGGAATACCCCTGCATTAGTTAGTAGAAAAATGAAATTCTTACGCCAGGGAAAGTAACCAAAGTATGACAATATTCTCCCCAGTCCGTAAAAATTGTCCAGAAGCCCTCAGTTCACCGATATGTGACCTGATCAGACATTCATTGGATTCACTCTATCTCCTGGCTGGCCCACATGACGCAAACAATTTACTCCCTCAACGGAAGTCAGCTCTGTTATCAATCCTTGGAGCGTGATCTCGGTCTAATAACCACAAAAAGCTTAGACACCAGTTCGAACTATATGGAGGACGCAGCCAGGGCTAATGCAGCTCTTCACTTTACGCGAAGACAACTCGGTGTTGTCACCCCACAGTTGTTCTTAACGTTTTCAAAGGTATCCGCACGGCCACACCTTGAGGTTCACAACGTTGTCAGACAATCTCTCCTTAAAAGCGATACAAATCTCCTGCATTGAGTGAAGAGAGGAGCAACTAAATGAGTGATAGCGTCAAAGAATAAGCCTTAGTAAAAACAGACTCCAGCACCTGGAATTATTCCTCCAGAGAGTCAGGACAATCAGAGACGATCTGATTATAGCATACAACATAGTAGGCACGTCAATCCATCCAAAGGCGATCACCATACTGAATCATCACCACCACGTTCGCGAGGTAGTCCTCGAAAATTTGCGCATCAAAGATCAAACATTAAGAGTAGTTGCAACTTGGAACGTTCTCCCAGCCGAGGTGACTACAGCCCCTTCAGTGGACATCTTTAAGAAGAGACTTGATAAACACATACTCATATACCGATTATCGATTCTTCATGGATGAGCTGTGCCTGACGTATGTATTGGGACATGCTATTTGTTATTATTGCTATCTCCTCGGATCCATTTCCATAACCATCGCGCTTATTATCTCTGTCTCCCCTCCTACGCCCAAACTTCGGTCCCCTCGCACATTCTTCAAAATCAATTATTAAACCATATTATACTTTAATTTACTTAGTTCCTAAATCTTATTTTTAATAGCATTATAATTTCTCCCTATTTTTCTCCACATTGTATCTAACTGATCTCTGGCCATGGTAACGTGATAGCTGCTGCTATCCATAAACCCCATTACCCTGAAACAAACGGACTCATTCAAATCAAGGGATACTCAAATTCACGAACAACTGCCAGATGACCAAAATTACTTAGGTCGGGTGGCTAAACCATTGTACGTTGGACGCAGCCAAATACTTTGTACCGTACCAAGAGAACAATCAGTGAGCGCAAAGAAATCATTTGATATACCTTAGCTCGCTGACTCTCTTCCATTTACTGGAAACAATCCACCTTCGGGATACTTTATCACCTCCGAAGCTATAAAAAGTTGTCTCCATTCATTGGTTGACAATCTGAAAACATTTTCGGACATACGGAACCATTGCAAGTCAGAAACATTGCGCGGTAGGTCTAGCTACCTCATTCAACTGCTCTATTTCTGGTTGCTTCGGCAGCATACATACATCCACTCACTCACAAACACAGGACTTGTGGACAAGTTACTGGATACACGCAAAGTTACTTACTAATACGGTCAAAGGTAGAGATGCAATTTTGGAGTACTTTCAGGCTCTATTCCTTGTAGTTTTATTATATACTACTAATTTTCTTCTTCCCTAAATCCCTTTTCCGTGTATCTCGTATTCTAATTATCTCGGCATTCACCTCCTATCATGTCAAGTAATGAGGTCGCTAGTACACA